CAGCAAGGGCTGCAGGTGCCTGTGCCCACCCTCCCCCGTTCCCCAGCAGGGGCTGCAGGTCCCTTTTCCCCCCCCCTGCAAGGGCTGTAGGTGCCTGTGTGTCCCCCCCCCAGCAAGGGCTGCAGGTCTCTGTCCCCAGGGCTGCGCCAGGGGGACCACAGGGCCAGCAGCAAGGTGACACGCAGGAAAATCAGCCTTGTCATGGCAAGGAGCGCCCAGGGAAAGCTTCCAGCTTAAAAAAACCCCTGAAATTAAAAAAAAAAAAAAAAGGTTTCAAACCAAACCCGGATTCTCCACCAACAGAGGTTGTCCCTTGGTTCCACGGGAAGGGCAGAATCCTGCTGCTGGTTCCCCTCTCAGCTGCGACTCCCGCCTGCAGCTCCCTCGGGCTGAGTCAGCCCCAACTTTTCAGGCTGAAAGTTCCCATCAGGAAAGAAACGTCCCCATTTTCCCGGTATTCCCTGTGCAACTTTGCCAGGCAGAGGAGAATGCGCTGCCGGGATGTGGGCACCTGGGGCTGGGCCATCGCCTGCTGATGGGGCCTGCAAGCGAGGGGGCTTCCTTAAATACGCGACGGGAGGACCGGGAGCGTAAGCGCTTCTGTGGAAGAGCACACACACACCCCCGCTGCTGCTGCAAGCTGCTCTTCTCTCTCCCCCCTCCCAGAGCAAGACCCGTGCTGCTTTTCATACAATCATTTAGGTTGGAAAAGATCTTTAAGATCATCAAGTCCAACCGTTTATCCTGAGTTCACAGCGCACGCGTCGGGCTGCTCCTGCGGTTTTAGCTGAGCTCCGGGGCCAGGCGAGGTGGGAAGCGATGGTGGGACAAGGTGCTGAGGCGAGGCAGGGTGCTGAGGTGCGGCTGCGTGAACCCGTGTGGTTTACGTGGACGCAGCCTGCTCCAAGCCCCGAACGCAAATCCAAAAGCCAAACAGGTCCGGTCAAACCGGGGCCACCGGGGCTGCGGGCAGGTGGGTGCGCGTTCCCCATCTGCAGATGTTGCAATGAGGTGGCAGAAGCCAGCCACAAGCTGCAATTCCTGTGCCACAGGGGCAGGACAGCAGAGCCACCAGCTGCAATTCCCCGGC